CACTGTTAATGGGCCCATCTCTGCAGCCAAGCCCGGAAGGCAGCCTGTGCTCTTGGCTGACAGCAGGCTGTGCTCGGCTGCTTTGCCAGCCTCGGCTAAGTGTACCCTGAACCCTGCCAGCCGGAGAGAAGAATGGGGCATTTGTTTTGCATGAAGTTTAAGAAGGTTGAGGGCTGGGGACAGGCTGAATTAGTCCGTGAGCTGGCTACCAGTCAGGTCCTCTCTGACCCTCCGTCTCCGCCTGCTCATCTCTACATCGGCCCCTCCTCTCCCCTTTATCTCCTTCCATTTCTCAGTCTCTCTTCCTGCTATCACCCCTCCTCTCCATGCTCCCTGCTCACCCCTCTCCCAATCCCAGTCCACACAAGGCTAAAGTCAGTGTGGGTCAGAGGCAGGGTGTAATGCTAGGCCTCAGACTGCTGCCATGGAAACTAGGCCCCAGCCCAGAAGAGATCTGGACAGGCAATCATGTACAAGAGGGATACACTAGGGATGTAGGCATGTGTGTGTGTTCTAAGTGAGTAGATACATGTGTGTGGTGTGTACATGTATGTGTGTTCTAAGAGAGTATATAGACACGTGTGTGGCGTGTGCATGTGTGATATGTGCCACCCTATGTAGTTTTATATTGTTTACTATAGTGTATGTGTGCATATATGTTTGCCCGGTGTATATGGTATATGTACCTCTGTTGTGGGTTTTGTGGATTACATAATAGTGTGTGAATTGTGTGTGACATGTGCAGGTGGCATGTGTGTAGTGGAGTGCGGTTTCGGCGGTATAGAGGCTTTTCTATTCTTCTAAAACTGGATCTCATGTTAGCCCAGGCTTCTTTGGGGGCAAGGATAACAATCTTGAACTTCTGGTACTCCTGTACCCCTCAAGTGCTGGGGTTATAGGTGTGCCCCGTGTCCAGTTTGTGCAGTTCTGTAATCCCCATATGCTAGACAAGAACTCTGCCTGCTGAGCTACAATCCGAGCCCTTCTGGAAGGGTAGTTTCTAAAAGGTCCAGAACCTAAAACCAGTTCTTTTTTCCAGCCTAAAGCTGGTTGTGTAGTTACTCCAGTAGGAAATGGCCACTGAGTCAGACATTAGTAGCATCTGGGGGCTTCCTGAAGGCTTTTGACTTCCTCCATAGCCAGGCTGTCTGGAAAGGACAAACAGAGCGTGGCTGTAGTCATCCTAGGACCCTGGCCTCAAGGTCTGCAGCCATAAGGCCTAGATATGGAGCAACCCCTGCTTGCTTCTGGAACTGAGAACCCCAAGTCTGAGGACAGTCGGCCCTGTCATGAGTCACCTAATGACTAGATTAGCTAATGACAAGAGCACATGTGTAGGTCAGTGCCCCCCACACCAGCCATTTCCTGTGTGTCTCCTCTGAATGTCACAAACACCCCTGTGGCCAACTTACCTAAAGGCTTTCAATTTGACAAGGGCATGGGGTAGAGTAGAGAAAGAAGGAGGGGAAAGGATAGGAAAGGAGAGGGGGGGAGGAGAAGACATGAGCTGTACTGTGTGGAAATTGAGGACTGCCTACCAAAAAGGAGAACCTGGCCCCTCCCCATGAGTAAGGGCGCCAAGGCTCTGCTAACCTCACAGCTTAACAGAGGTCAGAGGATGGGAATTCCCTGGGAGGGCAGCATGTGGCCCCTGGGGAAAGTCCCTAAGCAGCCGGAAGCTGTGGGAACAAGAGGAAGCCACTGGGCTGAAGGGGTGGGGGTCAGTGTGTAGCATTGCCTCTGCTGTGTGTACTGCAACCTGCACTTTCCTCTTGAAATTCACACCCTGGGCTAGACAGATCTGTACTAGGTGGGCACTCCCAGGCTCCCTGCTCTGGACAGGCTTCATGTCCCCTCTCCCAGGCCAAGATTTGCAACATTCATTCTTGGCATCTCTCTGAGGCATCAGCTCTGTGCAGTCCACCACAGGATGGGCCTGTGTCTGTCTTGTATGTATCCGTTTGTCTATGCCCAGAGTATCGCGGAGCAGGTACTCAATAAAAACTTTGGGATGAAGCACAAGGAAGAGACAGATCAGTTGTCGGTAAGAGCTGAGCTTTGGGGGCTGTTGAGATGAGATGGCTCAGTGGTTAAGAGCACTGGCTGCTCTTCCAGAGGTACTCAGCTAAATTCCCAGAACTGACATGGTGGCTTACAGCCATCTATAAAGGGGTCTGATGCCCTCTTCTGGTATGCAGGTGTACATGCAGACAGAATACTCATACAATTTAAAATGAACATAAATTTAAAAAAAATTTTTTTTTTAAAAAAAAAGGAGCTGAGCTTTGATGTTTTGGCTGTGTGTCCTGGGGCTGGCTGTGTAACCTCTCTGAACCTAAGACTCTACATGTGCAAAATGGGTACAACCAGATCTTCCCAGCTATCATTCTATGGTCACAATCCACTGGGAAAATGTGCATCTTGCTTAGCTCGGTTCCTGACATGGGAAATAAAAATACTTAGTCCTGGCTAGTCACAACTCTCCTGGCCATTCATAACTCTTAAAACTGGAAGCTCTTGCAGTCACCCCTAAACTGCAGTAAACTCTTAGAGCCACAGCCCAGCAGTAAAATGGAGGGTCGCTGCCCAGGGTACTTGCCCCTCCCCCGTGCTGCAGAAATCAGACCACCATGAGTGTCCTGTAACCCCGAGTGGGCGGCATGCCAGTTGCTGTTCTTCTAGATGGCGCACAGGCTTCCCTTGGCGCTCCGTGGCCTTCCAAGAGATCAGCAAGGTTGCTCTCACACAAAGCTCATCACCTACGATCTCAGAGTACAAAGTGACTGCCCATGTGTCATCCATAATTTGTGACTCTTGGCCACAGCTGGCAATGCAGGTGTCACTGTGAGGTCAACAGCCTGAGGACCTGCCAACAGTCAAGGAGGACACAGAGCAGGGAGAGGGCCATGCTGAGTCGAGCTGATGACCAGACAAATGGAAATGCCAGAACTCTGGGGTGGTGGTGGTGGGGTGTGGCCTGAAAAGAGACACTCTCTCAGTGACTACACCACACCAAGCTTTCAAAGCATCTGCCATGGCCCAGGGCACCCAAGAGGTCAGGACTAAGTGGCTGAGTTCTTAGCAAGAGGAAGGTTCTACAGCTCGTCCAAGTGACCCAAGACCCACATTGTCTTCCACTCCGTTGTATCACCAACCCCTCTTTACTGGGAAAGAGGGACCCAAGATATCCTCAGGTTGAGCCCAACACTGCTGTCTCTTCTCACTCAGTTCAGCCAGTACAGGCTGACAAGTGTGGTTTCTGCTTGGCCAGGATGGGCCATAGGGACCAGCCTCTGTGTGTGCTCCCGGTGAGTCCCTCTGCTGTTGGCTCCAGCTGGGGTGAAAATGGAGTTTGCAAGTGTACTGAGGAAGGCAGGCCAAACTGCTTCTTCCTCTTCTTTTTTTTTTTTTCCAACTCCAAAACAGTATTGGTGAGGACCAGAGACTGAGACACTGAGACACACAACATACCACGGGGTCATAGTGACAGTCTGTTCTGAGACCACTCAGGTGCTGGAGGCAGCAGCCTGCAGTAGCTGGGTGTCTCTGTTTGATGCTATAATGTGGACAGGGTCCCCTCTGCTGGGACAAGTCAGGACAGCCTCTCAGAGGTGGGGCTGGAGCTTAATTTGGGCACAGGGAACCACCCAGCATGGGAGGGCCCCACATCAGAGCATCCTGGTTAATCTGTGGAACACAGGGATTTACTGAGTGGAGCAGACAGGGCTCTGTGAGAGACATCAGACGCCACTCCCTGAGCCTCACAACCTTTCTCCCCATCTTGTGTCTCTGTTTCAGCTGAAGATAGCATGACCTCCCTACTGCCACTCAAGATAGCATGGCCTCCTAGTTCCACAGCAACCAGAGACACGGGGGCAGGAAAAAGTGGCCTTAAGGTTGCCAGGGTAGGAAACCCAGCCTGGGATCCCCAAGAATTTGGGATCCCACAGCTTGGACAATTCACGAAAGGAAATGTTCCCAAAGGGAGCCTCCTCCCAGGGCCACCAGGTAGGGCTACTCAGGCCGTGCACAGCCCAGAGCAGTGTCTCTCAGCCACCATGTGCTCAGGAGACAGATTTATTTGTCTGCATTGCTCATACTTTCTGTCACAACTGTGCGGCTCCAAGGGTATATCGTTGGCGTGTTTTTTATGAAAGCGGTGATTTATGGGAGCGAAGGTCTGTCTGTCTAACAAGATTAGTGCACTCCATCTATCACATAAGGGGTGCGGTAAGATGGCACCCGCGTGGGCCTCACAGCTGCCCTCTCTCTCTGCAGTTTTTCCTGTTTATCCTGATCATCTTCCTTGTAGAGCTCTCAGCAGCCATCCTGGCCTTCATCTTCAGGGAACACGTATGTACCACTCAGCTTCCCATCCTGCTTCACTGGGGGTTACTGAGTGACCCCTGCCTCTTCAAAGACACCCTTAGAACTAGCTGTCTCATCCAGTGCCTCGAGCCTAAACATGACCCGCACCTCAGGGAGGTAGCGGGGTGTAGAGAAACCCAGCCAAGCAAGGTCTCCTCCTATAGGGGTAGGTAATTCCAAAAGGCCTCCAGCAGGAGTGCCTAAGGGTCCCCACTCCTGGAGCACCTGGTATAAGCCCCATCCTAGTTCTAGAGTCTCCATTCGGCCCAGTGACAGTGTGATGCTGGGAGTCACATGGTCATGTGGTTGGAGAGGACAACCCCAGTCTGGGCGTGAAGTGTAGCATGCTAGGCTACCAGCCTCTCCCTGCTTAGCCTACACACAGGCTATTCAGTCCAAAGGCTTCAGCCAGCTCCTCACTCTGAGCTTAGTGAGCCTGGTACCACAGATAGAAGGGCTCCAAACAGGAGGGACTGAAGGATAAGCCCGAGGAAGCTGTTGGGAACAGTGACTTTGAGGACATAGTGGGGAGCTATGGGTGATTGACGTCTCCCTCTTTACCCACACCTTGGCTTCCTGTAGGTTGGGTCTCACACCTGCTGATTCTGAAGGATAGAATGGCAGTCATGTTCCCTCTCCCCAGCACACCCCCACAGTCATCTTCTGAGGAGAGCTGCAGGACTGAGCAGGGTTCCCAGTGTGTTCCATCCTGGAGTTAGATGAGGCCCGTAAATGAAGACATGCTTGTCTCAGCTTATGAGGAAACATCAAGGTCCCAAGCCTTGGGAATGGGGTGCCTGCCCAAAATGGACAGCTTAGTTATCACCTGGAAAAGACAGGCTGGGAGGACTCAGTGCCCTCTCCTCTGTCCCCAGCTCACCCGAGAGTTCTTCACCAAGGAGCTTACCAAGCACTACCAAGGCGATAATGACACGGACGTTTTCTCTGCCACCTGGAATTCAGTCATGATCACAGTGAGTGCCCCTCCCCATGTCATCCTGGGATGCCATGAACACTCAAAGACAGAATGTTGACATGAAAAAATCTGTCCTCTAGAGCCCTCCTAGTCCCTTGCCTGGGCCAGACATCAACAATCCATCAAGAATCACTGATCCCACTCTTGGCCTGTGAATCATCATTTGCACAGCTCTCCAAGCTGTTAAGGCTAGTGGATCACAGTCCACGGCCCCTGACTTAGGTCCTTAGTCAGTACCATTGTGAGTGATGTTAGTGATAATCACTACAGAGGCTGAGGGGATGGGTGAGTCAGCAAAGTGCTTGCTGTGCAATCAGGAGGAACTGAGTTTGATCCCCAGCACCCATGTAAAAATCCAGGAGTGATGATGTACACTTACAATCCTAACACTGGAGAAGTGGAGACAGGTAGGTTCCTGGGACTCACTGGCCACCTAGCCTAGCCTAATCTGTGAACCTCGGGTCCCAATAAGAGATCCTGTCTGAAAAATAAGATGGACAGAACCTGAGGAATAACATCTGAGATTGACTTCTGGCCTCCACGCATGTGTACACATGCTCCCACAACATACACACACACACACACACACACACACACACACACACACACACGAACAAATATACACAGGCCAAAGTAAAGACAATAATTAGCATAGCATAATATAACATCTTAGCAACTATATGTGTACTGCTTACCAAGTGCTGGTGAGGTACAGAACATATAGCCATGCCCCTCTTACAGAAGACCCAGATGACACAGGTCATCACCACAGTCACATGCAGGGCAGAGGGATCTTGGCCCTGGCAGAGGCTGGCATCCCCTCCAGTCCCACACTAGCTCCCGCACTGGCTCGGCTTTCTCCTAGTTTGGCTGCTGTGGGGTCAACGGACCTGAAGACTTCAAGCTGGCCTCCGTGTTTCGGCTGCTGACGCTGGATACTGAGGAGGTGCCCAAGGCCTGCTGTCGGAGGGAACCCCAGACTCGAGATGGGGTGGTACTGAGCAGGGAGGAGTGCCAGCTGGGGAGGAATCCGTTCATAAACAAGCAGGTAGGTTCCTCAGGCAGGGAGACACTCCACAGATAGGGGCAAAGCTGGGGGAAGCAATGTCTGCCCAGAGGGTCTGGAGGTGGTCCAGAGCTTTGTAAAGAATTCTGGCTGTGGCACAGGCTCCCCTTGCCTCTAAGAACCAGAGAAATGGACAGAAGATCACACTGGAAGAGGAGATAAGCTGGGTTCAGGCTGGGGTGAGAATTTCCATGGTTCCAGGGTGAGTTTTCCAAACTTTTGATAATAAAGGGGGAGGGATAGCTCTCCTTAGGCATATGCTGTGTTTATGGGGAAGCTTACTCCAGCCAAGTAAGAGTACTCCTTGGTTCTAGAGGAGAAGATTCTCATTGATCTGACCCTAGACAACCAGGGTCAGAGTTCTTTCTTTTCTTGTAATCTGAGGGCTTCCTCTCAGCCTTTGCCTCAAGGTAAACAGAGGTCTCAGCTTTGTCCCCCTCAACAAGGAGCACAGCCCCACTTCACCCTTGGTCCCTTCCTTCCTGCCGGCCAGAGACCACCCCCTCCACCCCTGTCCATAAAGAGAGGCAGGGAGAGATCGGGCGAGGCAGAGATTGGGCGAGGCAGACAGGGAGGAGGGAAGGGATGAGGAGAGCCACATCTGGCCTTCTCCTTTGGTCAAACTTCTTCTGGGAGAATTCAAAATGCTGGGGAGCTGACAGGACGCAAGAGACAATGCCAAGCTTCCACGGGTTCCTGGTCTAGGGAGAGGTGGTAGATGGTGAGCCAGGGAATAAAAGTGAACCTTGTGTACAGGGCTGGTCGTGAGAGTGAAGACACTTGAATGAAGTGATACGAGTGTGCACAGGCTGGAGCTTAGGGTTCTGGGAGCCCCAAGGGAGGGCATCACTGGGCTGAGACCCGGTTCCATGATCTCAGCTTGACACCAAGAGCTCAGCTCCTGACCTTATACCCTCCCTAGGACAGGTCAGAGCTCAGTTTGGCTCAGTTTGTCTCTCATACATCCTGCTCTCCAGGAAAGAGACAGAAATGAAGCGGAAGGGTCCTCCATGTCATGGAGAGAGCAGGTCACTGGAGGTTTGGATTGCAGGGATTTATGGGAAGAGCGAATAGAATCTGGGAAGGACTGTAACAGATGTCATGAGTCCAGGTGTGTGACAAAGGTGTTTCTCTGCCTTCTGGGTTGGGGGACATTGTGTGTGAGGTTTGGGGAATGTTGAGTGAAGTACCTTTGAAATATCTAGGCAGGGAGCCAGGTAGGAGGCGGAGTACTCATCCTAGAGCCTAGGAATGGTGTGCTAGTGATGAGAATGTGGGTGTTGCTGCCCAGGACCAATTGCCCTCTGTCTAGTTAGTTTTGGGGTGACTATGAGCAGGAGCTGGAGTAGGGAACATTCCCTCTGTGAACACTGGAGGTGCTATGACAGGTATCTAGAGAGTGATGTTTCATTCCCTGTGTCAGATGGGGATGCCTCATTGCAGGGTGATACCCAGGCCAGAGTCAATTCCAGGCTGATCAAAGGGCATGGCCACATGAGGATAGGAATGTAAAAAGTATAGTTCCTGTCCCCTCCATATAAAGGGAAAGGAATCCCAGGCCCCTCTTTGAATCTGGGCTTCCCCCCTTGCTGTGTCTGTGGCCTCGAGGGAGCCACCCGCCTGTTCTGTCCCAGTTTGCAAGGGGGTAAACTACAGATAAGCTACTTCTCAATAGGGGCTACACAGAGGACCAAATGATGCAGGGCACACAGAACCTAGTGAGACCCTGGAAGAGGATGCTGAGTGTAGGTAGTACTTTCCACTCTGCCCACTCATGCCAAGGGAGTCCCTGTCACCGGGGAATTTCCACCAGCCAATCCTCCTCAGCTCAGGTCACTTGTGTTAGGTAAAATCCAACATGTGCCTGACGTAAATGGGCACAGTTCCTACCCCTACTCATGTGGACATCCTCTAGTTAGGCCCAAAGAATATTTAGGTGCTCATAAAAGAAAAAAGAACTATTTTTTTTAAAAAAAGAACATGTTTCAAATGGCTGAGGTTGTATAGCTCAGCCAGTAGACTTGTCCAGCATGTACAAAAACTAGGTTCCATCCCACTACCTCATAAACTGGATAATGCTAGCACTCAGGTGATAATGACAGGTTTAGAAGTTCAAGGACATCCTCAACTACACAGAGAGTTCAAGGGTAGCCTGGACTACAGAAGATCCCATCTCAAAAAAGTTCATATATCTCATTCAGGACTGGGGTGAGTATGGCTCAGTGGTTTGATTCCTAACACTGATGTGTGTGTGTATGATGTATAAGCATATGATGTATATGATGTATATGTATACAGTGTATATGTATACGATGTATAGTATGTGATGTATATGTTTACGATGTATGTGTATACGTATATGTATA